GAATAAACACATACCAAACTTGTTAGCATGAATAATGTGAGAGAGACAGACAGAGGAAGGGACAACCCTATGGATAATATAAATTAGAAGTAATTGAAGGTGGGGAGAAAAAAATCTTACAAAATTTAAGAACATTTTCATCAACGGAACAAAACATAGCAGGTAAAACAATTGTGTATTTAAAAAATATGGATAATAAAGTGAGCATCTCAGAAAAAGGCCACTGCTCGGTGACCTGGGCAAGTCTGCCAGGTAAGTACATCTTGTAAAAAGTGTGCTGGTGTTAGAAATACCTAGTTGCAAAAATAGACGTAGAGAGTGAAGCTGGCGGGACGGTGTTGGAGGGTGCTGCCTGGACAGGAGGCTCTGGCTCAGGTGGCCTGGTCCAGGGCTCTGAGGAGGTCCCCTCCTTGCAGGAGCGTGGAGCTTCCCGGCACGGGCACGTTCACCTCACAGTCATATCTGGTCAGTTCAGGCAGCAGGTAGGGCTCAAACGAGGGCCCAAGTAGCCGACTTGCCACGCCTGAAAGAAGGTGGGTACCGTATTTTAAAGGGGGACCTAAATCAAACGTTTGGAAAAGCATCCATTCCATAGCAGGCTAGCAGGGATGCATGGAGAAAAGGGCATTTTTGGTTTTCATGGTGGGTGGTGGGTGGGTGGGTACATGGGTGAGCCAGCCCCAATTTCACTCTGTCCCTTTAATAGCATCCTGTGACGTACTCCATGTCAGAGGATGACCGCAGCAGAGATTGTGTCTGCCTGCACGACCATCCCACCAGGTGGGGTACTGAGTCTGGGAGAAGAGCCCTCAGGCAGGAAGGCTGTCTGCCCTTGAGGTTGAGACATCAGGAACAGCCAGTGGGAGCCACTGTCTGGGTCTCTGGTGCTTTTCCAAAGGCTGAGCTCCTGCTGGTGAAGGCAGTTGACCTCCCCCTCCTCAGAGCCCATGGGTTTGCCCACACTTGGGCACCCACCTGACCCCTTGTGAGCTGCTGGCAGGCTGTAGTCCTGGTACTGGGAGGCGTAGCACTGTGATGGGAACCCACTCTTGGCATTCTCCCTGGGACTCGAGGTGGACGGTGGCTGGGGTGGCGGCAGGTGTCTCAGGGGCTGGCCCAGGCCCCTCATGGAGTTTTGGGTGAACTCATCTGAAAGACCAAACCCAGAGAGTGAGGTAGAGCCAGCCTGAGGGAGGGGAGGGACCCTGAAGCTCCCTACCCCTTTTCCAACACCAAAGGCACACAAAGCTGCTTTAGGCATCAGAGCCCAGGGATTTCTGATCTTGACTGACAGCTTAAGGAGAGAGTAGAGGAAGCAGACCCCAAGCCCTTAAGCCCCCAACCCTTCCACAGAACCCTGGGGAGGCCCAGGCCTGCTCACCATTGGGGACGTTTGTGCTCAAGGACTTGTTGGGCATCAGAGGGCCGTTCCCACCTCTGAGGCTCTTCATCCGTTTCCACATCAGGTGAGAGGCACTGCTGCCCGCTGGATCTCCCTGGGTGTGGAAAGGGCAGATGGAGGGGAGAAGGCCAGGGCAGCCACGTCTTCCTCCCTACAGCCAGTGGCAGGTCATCGGTATATCTGCTCTCAGCCCTGCCTCCCACCCAGCCTGCCCCAAGGGCTGTGGAGGGGCCCAGGCAGTGCCAGGCAGGGGATGGCTCACCCCACTCATGTCCTGGAAGGCTTGCTCCTCATACTCCAGCTGTCGCTTCAGCTTCAGCTTGTTGGAGAGGGCTACCATGGCTGGGCTCATCACATCTGGGCCCCGAGGCCCGAAGCCCTTTGCAGACCTGCCAAGCCCAAGAGAGCAGGCTGTGAGGGAGTCTGGAGCCCCACATTGCCCAGCACCTTCATCTGATCTCTGGGTCTCAGGCCTAGAGGGGACCCAAAGGGCACAGTCTCACAGGAGGACTATGCACCTATAGGCCTGAGATCTAGCTCTGCCTGCCTGCTCTACCAGGTGAGATGCCAATTGGTTCAAGTCACCCATGCCTCCCACATGTGCCCAGGCAGCCTTCAGGCCTGGCCTCGGTGTGGCTAGGTGATGTCAGTGGCTAGGAGGGTTTCTCCTGTTCTTGTTTCTTCCCTGTCTACACAGCACCCCACTGAAGAGCAGTTAGGGTGCTGTGTAAAGGACAAACACAGGGACCTAGCCAGGAGTTCTCAGCATTGGGGAGATTTGAAGAAACAAAAGAGAAGGCAAGCTGGAGCCTGGGAGAGGCTGCCATTTGGGTAGGGAGTGAAAGCCCTGGGTAGCCAGAAGGCCAGGGTGAGGGGAAGTCTTCTGCTTTTATCAACCAGGGTTTTATGAGAGAAGTATTGGGTTGTTGTTAAAAGTCATGACGTGTTTTTTACGCAAAAATGCGTCATGACTTTTCCAATGACCCAATAAAACAGTCACTCAAATAACTTCCTGTGTTATCAGAGGAAAAACCTTGGATAAGAAAAACACTCTAAGGGGTGGTCTAAAAGGGGACATTTGAATTCAAGGCTCTCAACAAGCCACTTGCCACATTTCTCCTCTCCTCAGTTCCCTCTTGATCTCTTTCAGCCTAATATAAACTTGTTCTGCACTAGGCCTCACACCCTCCAAAGGCCCAAACTCAGAGAAGTGCTAAATTGAGCAGTGGATGGCTGTAGAAGGGGAGACAGTGCTGGGGAAGGCAACCTTCTTGGGGCCTAGCTATCTCACTGAGTGCCTAGCTGCCCTCTTCCTGCTCAGCTCAGCACAGCCTCTGCCAATGTAGCCAAGTGTCTGCCACTCACCTCGTCTTAAATATGGAGAGGTGGGGCGAGGTAACTGGGGACCCCAAGGGTGGCGCCCCCAAGGGCTCAGTGTGTTGATCCCCAGCAGGCCACTTCGTGGGCCCGAAATGTAATGGTGGATCCGGAGGCCACTGTGTGTTGGATCTGCCCCCCATAGAAGAGAGAGGGGTGCTGGCCTGGCCACAGCATGGTGGCAGGGACGCCTTGCTCCCGGCATCAAAGAAGATGGAGGACATGGGCCGGTGCTCGGGCTCTGTCTTCTTGTTTTCCAGTTGCTGCTGATACTTGTCCAGGAGAAAGGGGCTGTGTGAGGCCAGAGGGGCCAGGGGCTGGAAGATGTTTGTCATGGCACTGAGGCAGTGCTGGGGAGTGGGCTGTGGGTTCTCTGGCAGGAGCCGCTCCTCTGGGCAGATGGGGCTGAGCTGGAAATCTTCGCCGTCCATGGGGATGTAGGGTGCCAGTGTCTCCAAGTCCAGCTCATTGAAATCCGTCTGAGGAGAGAGAACACAAAGGCGCAGCCTTGTGAACAGTATTCTAGCTTAGCCCCTTGCCAGGCTCCTTCTAGTCATTCATCTCAAGCACAGCTTCAAACGCTTGCATCCGTCTGAGGAGAGAGAACACAAAGGCGCAGCCTTGTGAACAGTATTCTAGCTTAGCCCCTTGCCAGGCTCCTTCTAGTCATTCATCTCAAGCACAGCTTCAAACGCTTGCATCCGTCTGAGGAGAGAGAACACAAAGGCGCAGCCTTGTGAACAGTATTCTAGCTTAGCCCCTTGCCAGGCTCCTTCTAGTCATTCATCTCAAGCACAGCTTCAAACGCTTGCATCCGTCTGAGGAGAGAGAACACAAAGGCGCAGCCTTGTGAACAGTATTCTAGCTTAGCCCCTTGCCAGGCTCCTTCTAGTCATTCATCTCAAGCACAGCTTCAAACGCTTGCATCCGTCTGAGGAGAGAGAACACAAAGGCGCAGCCTTGTGAACAGTATTCTAGCTTAGCCCCTTGCCAGGCTCCTTCTAGTCATTCATCTCAAGCACAGCTTCAAACGCTTGCATCCGTCTGAGGAGAGAGAACACAAAGGCGCAGCCTTGTGAACAGTATTCTAGCTTAGCCCCTTGCCAGGCTCCTTCTAGTCATTCATCTCAAGCACAGCTTCAAACGCTTGCATCCGTCTGAGGAGAGAGAACACAAAGGCGCAGCCTTGTGAACAGTATTCTAGCTTAGCCCCTTGCCAGGCTCCTTCTAGTCATTCATCTCAAGCACAGCTTCAAACGCTTGCATCCGTCTGAGGAGAGAGAACACAAAGGCGCAGCCTTGTGAACAGTATTCTAGCTTAGCCCCTTGCCAGGCTCCTTCTAGTCATTCATCTCAAGCACAGCTTCAAACGCTTGCATCCGTCTGAGGAGAGAGAACACAAAGGCGCAGCCTTGTGAACAGTATTCTAGCTTAGCCCCTTGCCAGGCTCCTTCTAGTCATTCATCTCAAGCACAGCTTCAAACGCTTGCATCCGTCTGAGGAGAGAGAACACAAAGGCGCAGCCTTGTGAACAGTATTCTAGCTTAGCCCCTTGCCAGGCTCCTTCTAGTCATTCATCTCAAGCACAGCTTCAAACGCTTGCATCCGTCTGAGGAGAGAGAACACAAAGGCGCAGCCTTGTGAACAGTATTCTAGCTTAGCCCCTTGCCAGGCTCCTTCTAGTCATTCATCTCAAGCACAGCTTCAAACGCTTGCATCCGTCTGAGGAGAGAGAACACAAAGGCGCAGCCTTGTGAACAGTATTCTAGCTTAGCCCCTTGCCAGGCTCCTTCTAGTCATTCATCTCAAGCACAGCTTCAAACGCTTGCATCCGTCTGAGGAGAGAGAACACAAAGGCGCAGCCTTGTGAACAGTATTCTAGCTTAGCCCCTTGCCAGGCTCCTTCTAGTCATTCATCTCAAGCACAGCTTCAAACGCTTGCATCCGTCTGAGGAGAGAGAACACAAAGGCGCAGCCTTGTGAACAGTATTCTAGCTTAGCCCCTTGCCAGGCTCCTTCTAGTCATTCATCTCAAGCACAGCTTCAAACGCTTGCATCCGTCTGAGGAGAGAGAACACAAAGGCGCAGCCTTGTGAACAGTATTCTAGCTTAGCCCCTTGCCAGGCTCCTTCTAGTCATTCATCTCAAGCACAGCTTCAAACGCTTGCATCCGTCTGAGGAGAGAGAACACAAAGGCGCAGCCTTGTGAACAGTATTCTAGCTTAGCCCCTTGCCAGGCTCCTTCTAGTCATTCATCTCAAGCACAGCTTCAAACGCTTGCATCCGTCTGAGGAGAGAGAACACAAAGGCGCAGCCTTGTGAACAGTATTCTAGCTTAGCCCCTTGCCAGGCTCCTTCTAGTCATTCATCTCAAGCACAGCTTCAAACGCTTGCATTGGCTCCCTGCGGCCTACCAAGAGAAACAGACTGGGCCAGCTAGTGTGCAAGGTGATGCTATCCTCATGCTACGTTCCATGCCTCGTCTTCCGGTTCTTCACTCAGACATCTCTTTCTCTGCTCCCCACCTTCTCTCAGAGCCAGGTGAGCCTTACCTTTTCCAGAGTCACATCTGCCTATTTCATCTGTGGTAGTTGTCCCTTTCCTGTCCTCTTATAGCATTTAGACCTGGGGGGAGCACAGGGCAGTTTGTCCTCATCTCCGTCACGTGTTCTGACACAGGCCTAAGCACACAATGGGTGCCCAGGTGAGGGGATAGAAGGACTTTAAAAAAAAAACTCAGAAATGACCCATTAGGCTCCTAGTATGGTGACAGGGAACACTCAGAAGCAGAAGCAGAAAAAGCTGTTTCTACCTTTAAAGACCAGTGCCCTCACTGGGGGGATATATTGGGTTGTCAGGAAAGTCATGTTGCATTTTTGCATAGAAAAAACAGAAAAACAAAACAAAACAAAACGTCATGACTTTTCTGTGACCCAATAGCTCACGAATGATTAAACTGTATTGTCTGAGAAGCAGAAGCAGATTTGTGATTAAGTACTAAGTGATAAAGCCTAGCGGGGTGCTGAGGACAGTTTTGCAGAACAGCTGGAACTTGTGCCAGGTAGGGCAAGATACAAGCTGTGGAGCAAAGCTGAAACGGATGAATAACCCAGTTTCAGACGAAGGAGGGCCTAATGATATTCCCTTGGGTTCTCTATAGGTTGCTTTTGAGAGAACATTTGGTCATTATGTAATAAATGTGTTTCTGAAAAGTTGTATGCAAATGAAAATTTGTCATTTAAAAGATGTAATTTCTTGAAATGCATTTTTAAAAATGACAAGTTAAAAATAATTTAATTTGAATTGATTTTTTAAAAATCCCCAATATGGGAGTAATTGTCTCTGGTCTATAAATGCTTCACACATCTGGATGTTACTTTTAAAGATAGGGCTTCCTTAAATAAAGGTTCAGTGTTATAGTTTTGGTTTTCATGTGCACTAAGAAAGTTATCCAAGTAAGGTGAGAGTTAAAAAGGGGAGAACTGGCTTTGACATGGGTATAGGGCAGAAGTGGGAGAAGGGGGCAACCACAGGCTCCGTTGCCCTGTACCTTCACCTATTTAAGGGACCTGGGGCCTTGGCCAAGCATCCCCATGGGATCTTGCAAGAATAGACATACGCCTCTAGCTTGCACCAGGTAGAAGGCATGGCGTGCCACCCTGACCTTTTCCACGGCTGCCTACCTGGGTGTTGCACTGGTCCTTTGCCTCTGTATCCATGGCAAAGAGCTTCTCGATCACTTCAATCTTCAGGTCGTCATCCAGAGCTGTGTAATAGTCTCCAGGGCTACTGGGCTGGGGGCCAGGAAGGAGGGGAACCAAGTCAAGGATTTGGCACTCAACTCCCAAGAACTCCATGTGGAAGGAGAAATTCCTGGACATGCTGATCCATTCCATCCCACCAAATGAGTACTTGTGGAGGGACTACTACTACTAGTAAGCTGTGGGATTTAGGCCACTGAACTAGTGTCTTCATATGACCTGAGGCTGTCAGGGGCTGTCTTGAAGAGCTAACAGGATAAAGGCTGTGGCCAGTGGTTCTCCAAATTCTGCAGCTCTAGGGCCCATAGAAGATGACTACTGACACAGAATAGGGGCACAAAGCTTTCCAAGGAATATTTCATTTAGTGGAGGTGGGGAATGGACACTGAAAGTAAGCAAATAGCTCTAACACCAGGCAGATGCACGGCCGCCCTAGGGTGGTCTGTGATAATTGAAGGAGGAAGGCAGTGCTTCTGTCCAGACTGTCCCTTCAGCCATCTGGCAGCAGCCTGAGTGGCCCACCCTTTGTACAGTCTCATCCAAGGGTCAGGGAGCTTACCGTGGAGCAGCTGCTGTTGCTAGTGGCACTGGGGGTGGAGCTCCCTGGGGCAGCTGCCTGGGGCACCGTGAAGGCGGGCAGACTCCCAGCCTCACTCTGGGTGTTGTGGCTCCTTAACTCTGTAGCCCATGGCTGGTTCGGGGACAGGATGGCCTTGCCATAGGCTGAGGACTCCTCAAAGTTCTGGTTCCCTGTGGAGACAAGGGACTGGTCAGTGAGCATCCACAACCACTGGGTTTGCCCCAGGGCAGAGGAAGCCCAAATGTTGTACCAAAGTTTTTAAGAGGGTCTTGAAAGCAGACCTGGAGCACAGCTGGGACAAACAAGGTATGACTCAAGGTACAGACTCCATTGGAAGGGAGTATGCTCCTGGAGCTTGACTTTTCATACTAAGTGTACTAGCAGCTGCTCTTCCCTGAACGGCAATGTAGACTGTAGAAGAGGAGGTTATGAATGGAGAATTGGACCATTTGCCTCAGTATGCCCCAGAAAGGATAGCTCTGAGATATCCTGTCCAAGGCCAGCTGCCCTCAATGATTCTCTGAACTTGGGAGTTTCATATGGCCTCTCAAGAGCATATCTAAAAGGGAACATGACAGCCCACGCTGGGCAGGCGGGGGAGCTGTTCTTCTGGCTGCAAGGCCAGGAGAGTATGGCAGTGGGTTGTGAATTAGGGAGGAGGGGGCTTCCAGGTGTACCTTAAGGAAGTTTCCTGGAAGGGAATGGGGAGAAAGAGTTGCAGGGGCCACAGTGACTGATATCCTGGTGGGGCAGGCAACAGACAAACATTTTAATAAAGTTGTGTGTCTGAGGGCCTGGGCCCAAATGTGTTCTCTGTGCATGTTTCTGGAATTATCTCCACTTGCTTCACTCTTCACATTGCCCCCCACCCCCTACACACACACCAATTATTCCAACTTAGTCCTCTGCCTAAACAAGTGAGGATTTACCCCACTCTGATCACATCCAAGTGACTCTGAAACAAATTTCCCTCTCAACTCTCCCTCAGAATGTTCTCCCTGAGAGGGAGGAAGAATGGACTTCTCAGGGGTGTCCTCTCATAATCCGCCTTGTTTGGCCCCTCATGAGGTCATATTTGGATTGGTCTCACTCAGTGGTGGGTGTGTGCATGTAGTTCCTTAGTACCAAGCAGAGCCTGGCTACTCACAGGTGATTAGCAAGACTCAGGGAAGGGGCAGGGGTAAGCCCCGGTTAAGGAAAAGGTGTTGGGAAGGTCTAGTATAGTAAGAACTTCCCCAACCTCAAGACCATTTCATGGACCCAATTAGACTAAGAAGTACCCACCAAAATCTAGAGAAATGATGGCATCTCCTGGGGTGGGGGCCAGCTGAGCCAGCTCCTCCGGTTCCTCCTTCAGCTTGGTGAACAGGAAGTTACTCTTCTCAGATGCAGCCATGTCACCACCATTGTCAAAGATGCCATTCATGGCCATCAGGTGGGGCTTGAACAAGGATTCAGTCTGGTCCATGGAGAAGACCACATCATTCTTCTCAATCTCACTAATGGGACAAAAGAGCTGTTGAGTCCTCTCGCATTTCCTATCAGAATTGTTTTGCACCCTGAGATACACAGAAACCGACAGCTCAGGCTCTCAGACAAAAAGAAGGGCAGGGACAGTGTTGGCAATTTGTAAAGACCGGTGCAAGGGAAGTTCGTGAGGCATGGATGCAGTGAGGACACAAGTCTCTTCTGAACATCTGTCTGTTCTGGCCGCTTTTGTCCCTATACTTCTTCTGGGTGGTGTACAAAAAGCCCGAATGCTTGTGTTTGTGTGTGCTTCTCCCCAGGATGACTCCCTCTAGCTTCCTCCTGGATTCTAGAGGGTGAAGGTGTTACATCTTACCCTGGAAAGCATGAGCAAGTCTCTTCTTTTTTTTTTTTCCCAATCATAAAACATTTGTTAAGTGACTACTGCATGCTCTCTACTTTTCCTTTTGGGTCAGAGGTGTGGCATAAATAACACACAAGGGGGAAAGGACAGGAAAAAATCCTAGGTATCCCATCGTGCCCAAGATATCCACAAAAAATGTACGTCCTAAGAATTAATGTTGCAAAGAGCTTCCAGATTGATGCTCAGGGTTCTGAGAGGCTGGGGGTCCCCTGGGACTGTTGTACTCAGTCTGGGGAGCTTGGGTGCCCCACATGCTAGCTTCAAGGTCCACACACTCACCTCAGGACGTAGTTGACACACATGATGCACTGGGGTTGCAGGTTGCGAGGGTTGTAGATAACCGTCCCCTGGGTCTCCAGCCACACATAGCCCCCGTGCTTGGCGAGCATCCGGTACTGGCCGCTCACCACCTGCCCCTTGGTACACACTAGGAGAGAAGAATGGGGCCTGAGGTCAGAGAGATGGAGAAGCAGCCTGCACCAATAGCTTGAGAGACCCCAGAGTGAGTCTGTGGAGGGCTGGATGGGACTGGGCACCAGTCTGTGAGGAGCGGAGGAGGAGAGCTTTGAGATCATCTCAGCCAGTTCTTCATTGTACGGCTAGGAGGAAGAGGCTAGACAGGTTCAGTGACTTGCCCCGGGGATGACCCATTCATTATGCAGCTTTGCTGAGCCCCATCACCAATCTCTTGCCAATGGGGACTTTCTGGGGCTTATGGATTGCTCAGCTAAAAGCAGAATCAAGAGTAGAACCTGCCTTGTGTTCCTCACAGGTTCAACGAGAGGCAGCCCCTTCACACGGGTGTGCGAGAGCCTCCCCTGTCAAATGCTCCAGGTATGTGTGTTGGGGGTGGGGAGATTTGCAAGCCGCTTGGAGAAAGCCTGGCCTCAGAGCAGACCTTTGTTGCAGAACTGCCACTGGAGAATAAGTTTTTTTTTGGTTTTAATTGATAGCCTTAATTTTTCCAGGGCAGCTGTCAGCCTGCCACCTTAGAGTCACAGGCTTATGACCCACAGCAAAGGCAGAGGCAGCCCCTCCCCAAGTCGGGGTGAAGAAAGGCAACAGCCTCTGCATAAGCGGGAATTCCTTATTCCGCTCTTCTCCCAGACGCCCAGCTAGGCTCTCTGCTGCTGGGTTCTGTCTCCTTCCAGGTTGTACTAAATGTGCATTTACAATGTTTGTACTGTCTAAAAATATTAGGGAAGGGGTTCTACATCCTAGACTATCCTTCCCCTCAGACCAGAGTGTTCCCATTAAGGAGGAATCAAATCTCTTTACATTCAAGACTGGTAGGACTTCTGATAGCTTTTTCAAAGGCTGTTTAATTGAATTCCTTGGGAATTCATTCTTCAGAACTCTAGCTCAGAAGCTCCCAGCTCACAGAGAATGGAGATGAAGTGTGGTGGAAGGATCAGGGAATTCTACTAGCTTGGGAACTTCGGGGAGGAATAAGCTTCTTGGTTTTGGTGTCCTCTTTTTCAGAATGACGTACTGATAATAAAAATAGTAATGAGAATGATTGTCCTTATTGGCTTCCTAGTTTGTACTGAATCCAAATTGAACCAGCTTGGCTTACCAGGAATGCAGATGTTGCCTGATGTCACAGACACATGTTGTTTAAGGAAAGCCACCTCCTTCCCACAGGCCCTGTCATGGACATGTTACATGTTTATAGATAACATTATAAGGGGCGTTGTAGGAGAGCATCTAGGTTTGTAGAGAGTCTCCCAGTTCTCCCAGTAGGCTTGTGAACTGCCTCCCTGTTTACTCGCCCTGTATACGGTGGAGGAACGCAGCTTGGTTCATACTACTTGCAATCCTGTACACTTAGGTTTTGCTTGGCGGATTTTACCTCTTTGAAAAATTTAACAAGCACCTGCAAGGTGCAGAATCACAGTAACTTATAATACATTCATATAGTGCTTTGCAGCATCTAAAATTCTTATAAAATGCATTTCTGCAAAGCAATTGGAATAGTACCTGGAGCATAAGCACTCAGTGAGGATTAGTGGCACCATTACCACACTTAATATCACCACGGAGAGGAATCTGTTGTCATTCCTGTTTGATATCTGAAGAAGCTGAGGCTTAAAACTGTTGAGTGATGCACTGCAAGTGCCCCACCCCGCCCTAGTGGAAACAGTAGACAGGATTATTGTCCAAATTAAAGACTCTTAGATTAAGCTGTTTTTGTTTCTAATTTTTAAAAATCAGTATTACTGAAGTTTAATTTACCTTCAATAAAAAATTTACCCATTTTAATATTTAAGTACAAGGACCAGCAGTTAGCATAATAGTTATGTCACTGGACTTCCATGTAGTCGACCGTGGTTCGAGTCCTGGACCCAGTGGCTTAAACTCACGCTGGGTGGGTGTGCATGTGTGCCCAAGATCCCAAGAGGAGAATGGAGGAGAAGTGATTGCAGCGTGACCATCTCCCCTGGGGGGTGATTTCTCGCTTTCTATCTCTCTGTCTCTCTATCTTTTTGGCGAGCACATGCACCCTATAGCAAAAACCTCTCCAAGAAAAAAGAAAAAACATATTTAAGCACACAGTTCATACTTTTGACAGGTGTATGCACCTATGTAGCTATAACCACAGTGAAAGTATAGAACATTTCCTTTTTTTTTTTTGTAGAGGTTTTGCCTTAGGGCACATGTGGTCACGAGAGAGAAAGTGAGAGAGAGAGAGAGAAAGATAGACAGACAGACAGAGACAGAAACAGTGAAAGGGAAAGTAAGAAATCATGCCCTGAGGGGATGATGGCCATGCGGCAATCCTTTTTCCTCCTATCTCCTCCTGGGATCTTGGGCATGCACGCACATGCACCTGGTATGAGTTTCAAGCCACTGGGTCTGGGACTCAAACCGCGGTCAGCCATGTGGGAGTCCAGAGACATATCAGCTACACCATTTGCTGACCCCTAGAGCATTTCCTTTCTACCCCTCCCCCAAATTCTGTCAATCTATAGTCCCGCCCCTGGTTCCAGACAACTACTGATTGGTTTTATTTGTCACTATACATTGAAACTGCTTTTTCCAGATTTTCATATAAATGAAATTACATAAGAGTATGTATTCTTCGGTATCTAGCTTCTTTACGCTCAGCATGGATTTGAGAGTTACCATATTGTCACGGGTATTTGTGGATCCGTCCTTTTCATTGCTGATTAGTATACCATCGTATGGATCCACTATGATTAGTTTATCCAGTCACCTGTTGATGGATGTTTGAATTGTTCTCAGTTTTGGTTATCATGAATAAACTTGCTATAGACATCTGAGTACAAATCTTTGTATGGACATGTATTTTCCATTTCTTGGGGGTTTATCTAGGAACGCAATTGCTTAGTTATATGCTAAGAATATGTTTACTTGATAAGAGACTGTCAAATTATTTTCCAATGTGATTTAATCTTTTAAACAAAATACTGTGCCACAGTAAGGATAGATATCATCCTCTTTTAATGTGAGGATTCTAAGGTCAGAGGGATGGTGACTTGCTTAACGTTACACAAGACAACAGTGAGAGTCTAGACTAGAAAATAGTCTTATGGCTTCCAGTAGAATGTTCTCTTACTACATTACCCAGAGCCCCGAATCACTGTCTGATCTGCCACTGTCCTGGCCATCACGGACCCCTACACCAAGGAAAATAACTGTTGTCCTTGCCTCTCTCCTTTTGTCTATACGAGTGAGGCTGCCCTGCTGCAGTAAAATTATTCTTGTACAATTTCAAGTGCCTAGAGTTAACTTATTTAGACGGCTCTTACTCTTTTTTGATTAAGCAGTACATGTCAGCAAAGGTTTTAACTGCATTTCTAGCAATTGCAGGCAAGGGCCTGCTCTGTCAGTGGAATATAATTAACGCCAGCTTTCTAATCATCTGCTCATTAATGCCAGCCTTGGTGAGGGGCCTGTGACTTGGTAGATAGGGTTTTTATGGCCTTTAATCTTGTTTTCCTAAAAGCACATGGTGTCCTCATACAACAAAGAGAAACTAACCCCCCACCGCCCTCTGAGAGTAACAATGTATAAATTATTAATCCATTTGGAAATGATGACTTTCAATTATCTAAATTTGGTTGAGGACTGAGCTTCCCCAGTCATTTTAATGGTAAACCGTTACAGGCTATGACACACGTACGTGCATAATTTGGGACTCTAGTGTGTAAACCTGGACCAGCCTCAGCCCTGAGCCTCCAGTTATTTCACAGCGGGAGTGTGAGTCTGTAGTGCAACTTTATTTGCACAAACCCAAAGACAATAACGGGAGGCACTCCTGTTATAACTGACACTAACTAATTTCTGACCCCTGCAGATTTTCCTTTGCTAGATGTGCTGGCTGAGCTCAGGACAGCTTTACACAGATCTACCAAGGGAAGAAGACAACCTGGAATTTATTTTTGGGATGTAAATTTTGCCTAGTGCTTAACTATGGGGGCACTTCAAAAAGTCTGTAGAAAAATGGAACTAAAGTATAAGTTTATTTGGGTGGAAAAAAAATCCTGAAATCCATGCATAGCTTTTCCATAATATACATTTTCTATGAACTTTTTGAAGACTCCATTTACAGGTTGAGTTAAAAGCACCATATTTTCTCTGAAGTCAGCAGAAAACTGACTTCTCATGAATTGAAGGACAAAGAAGGACCTGTAGGTCTAGGAATAAGTGACACTTCTGTCCCGTTGGATCATTGGAGAGTACCTTCTTCTGCTTTCCCACTCCAGAGTATAAGAGCGCAATACTGCCCTCCAATTTTGGGACTCTAGTGTGTAAACCTGGACCAGCCTCAGCCCTGAGCCTCCAGTTATTTCACAGCGGGAGTGTGAGTCTGTAGTGCAACTTTATTTGCACAAACCCAAAGACAATAACGGGAGGCACTCCTGTTATAACTGACACTAACTAATTTCTGACCCCTGCAGATTTTCCTTTGCTAGATGTGCTGGCTGAGCTCAGGACAGCTTTACACAGATCTACCAAGGGAAGAAGACAACCTGGAATTTATTTTTGGGATGTAAATTTTGCCTAGTGCTTAACTATGGGGGCACTTCAAAAAGTCTGTAGAAAAATGGAACTAAAGTATAAGTTTATTTGGGTGGAAAAAAAATCCTGAAATCCATGCATAGCTTTTCCATAATATACATTTTCTATGAACTTTTTGAAGACTCCATTTACAGGTTGAGTTAAAAGCACCATATTTTCTCTGAAGTCAGCAGAAAACTGACTTCTCATGAATTGAAGGACAAAGAAGGACCTGTAGGTCTAGGAATAAGTGACACTTCTGTCCCGTTGGATCATTGGAGAGTACCTTCTTCTGCTTTCCCACTCCAGAGTATAAGAGCGCAATACTGCCCTCCAATTCCTTTGTCCTTTTACACATTCCTTTTTACCTTTATCCTTTGCTTTGCCTTCACCCTTGGCTTAGAAAGAAGGCAGAACTTTCCCCCAGTTTTACATCTAAAGGCAGGAAGGCTTAGATAGCCCAGTCCTGTAGAGTCACTGGATCAACCAGGCTGGAGCCTAGGCCCTTGAGTCCCAGGGCCTGGATGACTCTGTGGTTCTGTCTTTGGGAGCAGGGACACCTCATGGATGGGAAGAACCTGAGGAAGGCTGGAACCAGATCCTACAGTTTCAAAGCTGGTGTAGGCTAGGGCTGGGTCACATTCACAGGCACATAAAAGTACCTCTAGTTTCCCCTCCCCCATTCCTTGGTCCCTGAATGGGGCCCAGTCTAGATTGTTTTTCTTATTTGTTTTTTTTTTTTTTCCAGAGAGCACAGTGAGAAACTCCTCTTAGATTCAAAAAGGCTCTATTGTATTGGCAGATCAAATTCAAAAGCCAGGAGGAAGAAGAGGAATCAACTAGAGGGAGAAGATTTCACTCCTTAAGAGAGTATAAAGTATGTGCACGTAGTGCTTATAGGGTGGCTGACTGGTTAGCTGCTCTGGACTGCGGATGGACAGATTTATGAACAATGGACAATGAGCTGCACTCCCATATTCTTCATTGCCAGCAAGGTCACTGGGGATCTTCTCAGACTTACTTGACCCATTTTTAATCCTCTTATAATCTTCTCAGCACTCTGTGTGCACCACTCTGGGCACTTATTTTGAAGCATTCTTTTCCAAATATAGTTTTTATCCAAGGGTTTATTATTCATTTAGTGTTCATACCATATGAGACACTATGCTAGGTACTGAGGTTAAAGATATGAGCCAGATTGCTCCCAAAGAGCCCATGGTCTTTTTTTTTTTCTTCAGAAATAAGATTACATAGGGCAGAAGATCAATCTACCAATTTCTATTGCCCCCAGTAGGCCAAATGTAGCTAAGATTAGAGGCCCAGAGTCCTTGCATTCATGGATTGTATGGATTCAAGGAAATTGTCCTGGATCAATCGCAAGTAAGAATCTTGAATTGGGAACACGGCCAAGTGAACACTCTAGAACTGCCCTGTTCAATATGGCTGCCATATGCCAAGTGTAGCTATTTAAGTTTAATACAAATTACGTAGAAAAAAGTTCCCTAGTTGCTCTCGCCATATTTCAAAGTTCTGGATAGGCCACATGTGGACTGTGCAGATGTAGAATGTTGCAGAAAGTTCTATGGGTAGCCCTGTTCTACTCCTTTCAGGTTTCTTCCAGGTAGCAAAACAGTTTCCATATGCCATCACTGGATTGCCTAGATAGTCTCCTCTAAAGTTCTCTTGATGCAGCAAGCAAATTCTTTGAGAGCCATGGCTTATTGGTCATACTACCTTCTCCTCTGGTTAGCCCAATCCTCTCCCATCCTTTCAAGGTCCAATTCAAATGCCCTTCCCTCAACTCCCTCAGCCTTTCTCTTCAAGAATGTACTGGCATCTACAGCACATACCCAAGTGGTTATATGTTGTCTTGTATTACTTTCTATAGGGCTGCTCCACAGCCAATAGTCTGTACAAGGGAGGTGCTGTATAGGGACTGAGATTCAGCCCAGTCTCCATTCTCTCTGTGCATTGGGGTGGGTGTGTCCCCCTACAGAAAGGGCACTTTTTCTCATTTGTATGAAGGTGTCAGAGGCTGGTGGCAGCTTTGGTCCTCTGACCATCCCAAGAGCTTGAATCTTGTCTGCCACACAAGTGGTGGTTCTGTAAGGTTAGTGACCTGCTCTTCTGTCTCACCAATCACAACCCCCTCAAGGCAGGTTTCATGGACACAAGAAAGTCACAAGCAGTACTCCTGGAACTTACAGTTTTGGTGACTTTTGGTCATGCTCTCTGAGTCCAGTGCATGGTAGAACTCATAAGCTGAACGGCCAAGCAGCTCCTCGGGGTGGTAACCAATCAGTTCTGTGATTCTAATTAACAACAAGAACAAAAAAAAGCATGTGGTGAAGACAGACCACATGGACTTGGTATAACATGTGGGCAGGGACTCAAGGAGCTAGATCCTGAAGACAAATCAAACGCACACATTCAGATGCACTCAGTCTGGACTTCCTGGTCGCCATACTTATCCAAGCAAGAAACCACTGTGCTCAACCTGCAATTGTGGGTCCACCGAAACCCCCACTGTTCCCGCTCT